GCCTCACACATGCTAGGCAAGTGCTCTACCACTGAGCCACAACCCCGGCCCTCAGGCTCTCATTTTTGAAGGCTTATGTGCCTGTTTGGAAATCACTGAGTGGTTTCATTTTAAAACAAGAAAGGAGGAGTGGGTGAGGGCAGGCAGCAGGCCCAGCTTCCTAGTGGACTGTGCTCTGAGACCTTCTTGGCCTGTCTGGACTTGGGAGGACTCTTCCTGCTAAAGAAGGTCATGTGGGGCCATAGGTCCCAGTGGCACCCAGGAACTCTGGCTGCAGGCCTGGTAGTGAGAAGGTGTCTGAGGGATGCCTGCCCTGGAGCCCCTGGTTCACTGCGTGTGAGGCAGACGAGGGGCCCCGGGTTTAGGGTCAGGTCCCTGGCTGGTGGAAACCGCTGTTCACACCCTCTTTGGCTCACAAATCCTCCCTCTTTCCTTTCCAGCATCTCAGGCTCTGTCTATTCCTCCTCCTGTCTCAGCTGCTGTTCTTCTCCCAACTAGTGTTCCTTCGAATGCCCCTCAGGATGACACCAGTGCAGTTTCCCAGCGCATCTCACCCGACCCTATCCTGCCCAGCGGGTTCCTTTGCCATTTATGATTCCTTTGGGTCTTACTTCTGGTGACAAAGGAGAAGCAGGAAGTTGAAATTAGCAAACTGGGGAAAGGTTAGAGTTTCCAGAGGCCTTTTCTGCCCCTCTGATTTGATGCTTCTTCTCTTTTACTGTTTAACATTTTGTTTTAAAATTATATATTCTTAATTTTTTTCTCATTTTATATTTTTCATATAAATTTTTATTTTTCTCATTTTATGGAGGTATACTTGACAAATATATAGTAATAGATAATATATATTTACAATATGCAGTGTGTTTTATTAATTGTTTGTTATACTTATTGTTTCAATCAGGAATTGAACCAAAGGGTGCTTAACCACTGAGCTGCATCCTCAGCCCTTTTTATTTTTTGTTTTGAGACAGGGTCTCGCTAAGTTGCTGAGAGTCTCACTAAGTTGCTGAGGCTGACCTCAAACTGACCATCCTCCTGCCTCAGCCTCCTGAGTCATTGGGATTACAATGTGATATTTTGATATAGGTACACCTTATAAAGTTATTGCCACAATTAAGCTAATGAAAATGTTTATCACCATTTAAGATTTTGTACCTTTTGACCAACATATCCCCATTCCCCACCCCCACTACTCCCTGGTAACTAAAAACTGCCTTTCTACTCTACTCTCTGCTTCTATGATTTCCACGGTTCTAGATATCACTGTTTTAGGTATCAGTGAGGTCACACAGTGTTTATCGTTCTGTGACTGACTTATTTCACTTAGTATAATGTCCTCCAGATTCATCCATTTAAGGATTTCCTTCATTTTAAAAAGCTTAATAACATTCTATTATATGTATAGACCACATTTTCTTTATCCATTCAATCACCTATGGACACTTAGGTTGATTCTGTATCTTGGCTGTAGTGACTAGTGCTATGGTGAACATGGAGTATGGGTATCTTTTTGAAATATTGATTTCATTTCCTTTGGATGTATACTTGGAAGCAGGATTGTTGGATCATATGGTAGTTCTAGTTTTAATTTTTTTTTTTCCTGGTACTGGGAGTTGGTTCCAGCAACTCAGACATGCTAAGCAAGCACGGTTACCACTGAGCTACATCCCCAGTCCCTATTTTTAGGTTTTTTTTTTTTTTTTTAGGAACTTCCACAGTGGAACTTAGATTGGGTCTCACTAAGTTGTTTAGGGCCTTGCTAAGTTACTAAAGCTCTCTTTGAACTCTTGCTTTCTGCTTTCTCATTAACAATGTACAAGGACAGCCTTTTCTCTGGATCCTCTATGATGCTTTTTATCTTTTGTTTTTGATAATAGTCATTCTAACAGGTATGAAGTGATAGCTCATTATGGTTTTAATTTGCATTTCCGTGATGATTAGTAATGTGGAACATTTCATGCACCTTTTGGCCATTTGTTTGCTTTTTTGAGAAATATCTGTTGAGATCCTTTGCCCATTTTTTAATTAGGTTATTTGTTTTCTTACCATTGACTTTGGAGTTCCCTGCGTATTTGGGATATTAATTCATTCTCAGATTTATGGTTTGCAAATATTCTCCCCCATACTGTTTGTTGTCTCTTCATTCAGTTGAGCGTTTCCTTCACTGTGCACGAGCTTTTCAGATTGACATAATCTTACCCTCACAGTTGAGCCTGGCTCTGGAGACCCCTTCCCAGTTAGAGAGGTGGAAGGAAGAAGCCCTGCCTAGGTTTGAATTAAGTAACCTTTACCAGTGATAAAACAGTTCCTCTACAATCTTATTTTCTGTCAATTTGTCAATTTTTGGTCTTGTGGTCTGTTTTGAAATAGCATCCAAAAAAAAAAAAAAAAATCACTGCTGAAACCAATGTTGTGAAACTCTCCTCCTGTGTTTTCTTCTGGCAGCTTTATAGTTTTAGCTCTTTTTAACTCTTTAATCCATCTCAAGTTGATTTTTGCACATGGGGTGAGGCAAGGTCTAATTTCATTTTTATACATGTGACTATCCAGTTGTTCCAACACCATTTATTGAGGAGACCAGCCTTTCTTCTCTGTGTTTTCTTGGCACTGTTATTGAAGATCAACTTGCCATAAGTGCATGGATTTTTTTCTGGGCTCTCTATTCTATTCCATTGGTCTATGTCTATTTTATGCCAGTACCATGATGCTTTGATTACTACAGTTTTGTAGGTTGCTTGGGGATTGAGCCAGGTATGTGTAACCACTGAGCCACATCCCCAGCCCTTTTTATTCTTATTTTTTAAAATTTTAAGACCGGGTCTCACTAAGTTGCTTAGGGCCTTGCTAAGTTACTAAAGCTCTCTTTGAACTCTCGATCCTCCTGCCTCAGCCTCCAAGTTGTTGGGATTACAGGCGTGTGCCATTGTTCCTGGCAGCTTTTTATTATTATTATCATTAATTTTTTCTTTTTTGAGATGGAGTCTCATCCTGTTTCAGACTGGCCCTGAGTTCATGATCCTCCTGCCTCAGCTTCCCAAGTAGCTGATAATGGCTTTATAGTAAGTGTATTTTGAAATCAAATAATGTGATTCATCCAGCTTTATTCTTTTTGTTTGATTGCTTTGCTTTGGCTATTTGAGGTCTTTTGTGGTTCAATGTGAATTTTAGATTTTTTTTTACTATTTGTGTGAAAAATACCATTGGAATTTTGGTAGGGATTGCATTGAATTGCTCGTTGATTGTTCAATTGCATTGAATAATTGGTAGATGGTTTTTGGTGGCATGGATATTTTAACAATATTAATTTTTCTAAATTGTGAGAACAGGATATCTTTCTATTTTAGAGGGTCTTCTTCAATTTCTTTTATCAGTTATTGTATTTTCAGTGTATAGATCTTTCACCTCTATACTTAAATTTATTTCTAAGTATTTTGTTTGTTGTGGTTTTGATGCTATCATAAATGAAATTGCTTTCTTGATTTCTTTTCCAGGTCATTGTTAGTGTTTAGAAATGATACTGATTATCTTACAAAACATTTTCATGGTATCTAGTGGAACTAGGTAACCATCTTCTACCTTCCTATATTTTCTTCTCTACTTTCCCTAATTTTTAACTTTACCCCCCTTACCTTCTGAACCCTCTTCTTAGGGTGGTGGCCCTGGGTTTCTTTCCTTTCCATCCATCCAGTGTGCTTCTCTCCTTTTCTTTTTACAAAAGCAATGACCAAGAGAGACCAAATAGTGCCAAGAAGACCAAATAGAACTAATCTCATTCAGAGATTATGAATGAATGACGAGCAAGCTTTGCTCTTGGTCAAAAGTAATGTGCAGAAATAATGGTTCAGAAAGGAAGGAAAAGACCAAGATGGTGAATCTCACCCAGGAGAGTTGTGTTGCTGGTGGTGGGTGAGTAGGAGGGGGGGTCAGCAGGAAAAAGGGCCGTGGACTTACTCTTGTCCTCATAGTTGAGCCTGGTTCTGGAGACCCCTTCCCAGTTAGTGGGGTGGGATGAAGAAGACCTGCCTAGGTTTGAATTAAGTAACCTTTACCAGTGATAAAAAGTTTCCTTATAATCTTATTTTCTGATTTTTTATCAAAAGCTTTTTCATTACCTACCAGGCAATTGTATGATTTTTCCTCTTTGACCTGTTAATAGATACTTTGAGTCAACGAATTTCCTTTATCTTAACTTGCTTTTCATTTTAAGAGGCTTGCCAGCTTCTTTTAGTGTACCATAGGTTTTGTTTTTGTTTTTGTTTTCGTTTGTTTGTTTTTTGCTTTTTGATCAGTTATTGTAGTTTTCAGTGTATAGATCTTTCACCTCTATACTTAAATTAGGGATTGGAACCCAGGGGCACTTAACCACTGAGCCACATCCCCGACCATGTTTATATTTTGAGACAGGGTCTTGCTAAATTGCTTAGGACCTCACTAAATTGCTGAGAATGGTTTTAAACTCCCAATCCTCCTGATTGGTTTTAAACTCCCAATCCTCCTGCCTCAGCCTCCAGAACAGCTGGGATTACAGGCATGCAGCCCTGTGCCCTGAAAATATACTGTAAATTTTGACTAGATAGTATGTAATTTAGGATTTTCTTTTTTATGTCTGAATAAAGCAAATCCATTCTTTTTTCTTGCTTGTACTATTTTGCCTTTATTGGACAGACTAAGTGTAAAGGGGTCCTCTTCTCCCTCAGTGAGGGAGGGTTTGCTGAGTGATGGAGAAAAGAGATGGGATCCAAGGGGGCCCAGCAGAAGAGAAGGGGGTTGCTAACACAAATGTGCATGCTGGGTAGATGCTTCAAAAACTCCATGTTTGGCCTCAGTAAATAAGCCTTAACTTGCAATCTGCATTGGAGCACCCTTCAGCCTCAGACTTGCTGTTAAAGAAGGAAGCAACCCTCCCCCCTGCCACACACACCCCAAGCCATTCAAAGATCTCATCACTCAGATTCGAAGTCAGGAACTAATTGGTGCATCTTTATCTTGCTTTGAAGGGCTCAACATTTGCACCAGTGGAAGTGCCACCTCGTGTGAAGAATGTCTGCTAATCCACCCAAAATGTGCCTGGTGCTCCAAAGAGGTATGTGGGGGGCTGGTGGGGGACAGGGGAGAGGGGGGAAGGAGTGTTATGGGGGAGGGGACAGGAAGGGGACAACACTACAGCACAGCACACAGATCCAGTATTCATAAAAAGCTCGTAAAGGGCTGGGGATGTAGCTCAGTTGGTAGGGTGCTTGCCTCGCTTGCATAGGCCCTGGGTTCCATCCCCAGCACCACACACACACACACACACACACACTCACGAGCATGTGCAGATCCTACAAGCTGCCTCTTCTGCTTCCATCCAGAATGATGACAAATCAGAGTTCACGAAATGATAAGTTTTAAATTGGGCCTCTTGATGGTGTTGAATGTTAATCTTATTTTGGGGAAACAAGGCTTTTCTTCCCTTTTGCGTGGGAAGCAAATGGGACTTCCTTACAGCTTTCTGACCTTTGACTAAGAACTGCCAAACCTGTCATGTGTGGACCCCTGCTAGATGCCACTTATCATATCTATAGTGTCTCTAACCCCCACAATAGCTCTGTCATGTGGATGCAAACACACCCATTTTATTGAAAGTCTGAGTAAATTGATTTGTTGAAGGCCACACAGGTATATCAAAGCTGGGGTTTGAATTTTCCTACTTGTACTTCTGGGCCCAGGCCCTTTCCTCTAGAAGGTTCTGCCTCTTACCCTCTAGACTCTCTACAACCTTTTCTACTGGGGAGCAAGAATACTAAACAAGTTACTTTGAGAGAGGAATCTCCTCCATGTATAAACCCTGGGTCATATTTGCACTTACAGTGTCTTTGTAACAAACTTTCTTTAAACCCTTTTTGGTTCCCTCTGACCTACAGGACGGATCCAAGTCCCAAGGCCTCTGCCTTTCTGCCTGCTGTCATCCCTTGCCCAACCTCACTCCTGCCTTTCACCAGAGGGAGCTACTTGAAGACCCTCAGAGCCCTGCTGATGAACCCCTTATGACTCTCATCTGCTCCTTCTCCCTTCACAGCCTACCAGCTTTCCACCTTCTCTTCACCAACTCTTTCCAGTTCAAACCCATCTACTCGGAAAACTCTCATGACTTCCCTTCATACACACCTGTCCATCTGTCTATTACATCCATCCATCCATTCCTTTTACATGAGAATGAAACCCCCCAGCTTTACTGGAACGTTACGGCAAGAGTTTTATCTCAAAAGAGAAGAAGCAAAATCATTGCTTTATCTTCAGCACTCAGCATAGTGCCCAGCACACAGAAGTTGCTCAATAAATATTAGTTGAAGGATTTCACTGGATGGCTGTTTATTTCTTACAGGCTGTGACACTCTGTCTCCCCATATTCTGTATTCCTTATATAGCACTTATAACTTCTTACTGGGTTAATTTGTTTTTATACGTGTTCCCAACTAAATCATCATCTTTTTGCAAAATTAGATGGTTTTATTCACCCCGACATACCCAGTATTCAGCCAAGAATCTGGAAGAAATTCATATTTGATTTAAAAAAAAACTGTTAAACAAACATGGAGTTAGAAAGCAAAGTTTAAATCTCAGCTTTGCCATGATTTTTCTCTCTTTTTAAAATTTTTTTAAAATTGTAGATGAACACACAATATCTTTATCAATTTATTTTTTATATGGTCCTGAGGCTCAAACCCAATGCCTCACACGTGAAGGCAAGCACTCTATCATTGAGCTACTGCCCAGCTCCTGATTTCCTCTTAATGCTTTGATGTATAAAATGAAGATGATGTTTCCTAGCCTCCAGCATTACACGGAGTATGTGGTGAGGTCAGTGCATGGGAGGGCTTTTGGGTGGGACTGCTCAGTTCCCTGCATCTCCTGAATAAGTTATCCAGCAAACTGCTGCTGTCACCCATGCTTATTTCCCGGTGAGATGTGAGCACCCAGAGTCCATTGTTTACTTAAGTTTCTTCCTTTCTTGTGCTAGTACTTCCACAAGTCTGACCTCCTGATGTTGACAGTGAATGAGGTTCTCCTGAGGAGCACACTGTTGGCCCAGCCCACACAGGGGTTCCCTATCTAGCCCACCAGCTCCTCCTCTGCTTATGAGGGGCCTTATTCTTGGCTGAAGACCTTCCTGTGACCTTCCCTGGAATGCGGCTTCCCATCTTCACTGGGGTGAACTTTCGCCAGGGCATGAGTGTGTTTCAGGGAGCTGGATCTATTCAGAGCGTTTGGGATGGTTTCTATCATCCTGTTCCTTAGCGAGAAGGAATAAGTACAGCCAGTGCCTTCTTAACCACATCCTGGGACATTGTCTGAGGAATAAGGTCTCTGCCAAGCACACAGGATGCGAGAGGACATTGAGGGCTGGTACCTAGTGGACAGCCAGGGAGGGCCAGATCTCCTGGCCAGTGCATTCTTATGATGCCACCTCCCTCCTCTCTTCATGAATCCATAGCACATTCCCTGTGGGTTTCTGCCCGCTGCAGATCCCATAATGGCCTCCTCATTTTTACTTGAGATTCGCCCAGGGGACTCCTTGCCTCTGCACTTCACACCCATCGTACCCTAATTCCACCTCCTCTGAACCGTACTCTCCCACAGGTGCTGTATTGGAGTCAGCCTGTGTCCTTCCTTTCCGTCCCCTACACAGCACTTCCTGCTGGTTCTCTCTGCTGCATTCCCCTGCGTGGTCCTGCTCACCCTGGCCCTCTTGCCTTTGTTTCCTAACTGTGGTTTGCTGGGGCTTCACGCTTACCTTCCGCCTTCATGACCGGGGTCTCTAGGCCCTGAGACCAGGTGGACTGCTGCCTGTCTTCACCTGTCCACACTGCCCCTGCCCCTCATCCTCCCCTAGCCTTATTCTAGCCCATCTTGGCCCCACATTTTTTTGGCCAGCTTTAACACTTAACGCTGCTGTTTGTCCTGCTCAGCATAGAACACACGACAAACTCCAGCAATTTATTCCCTATTTGATCCACTGCTTTTTTTTTTTTAGATAAACTTGTATTTTATTTAATTATTATTTTTTTACTTGTCAATGGACCTTTACTTATTTATATATGGTGCTGAGACTCGAACCCAGTGTCTCACACATGCTAGGCAAGTGCTCTACCACTGAGCCCCAGCCTCCGCCTGATCTGTTGCTTTTTTTAGTGAAAAATTTGCTTCTCCTCCCAGATGGCAGGTTCCACAACCCAGCCACTATGCCAAGGAGCATGCATGGAGGAGAGCGTGTGGGTGCTTCCTGGCGAGGCCCAGGACAGCCCACCTTCTTTCCACTCACCTTTTCATCACGACTCAGCCCCCTCACTACACCTCACCACAGTGCCCGCAGGAGACCTGCAGGAGAACTGGGCCACAGGTGGCAGGCCAGGGTAGCCCTCCCAAGGTCAGGCTGAGGGGTGAGTGTTCCCAGGGAGGACCGGAGGCAGGGCTGGGGAGGGAGGCAGGGGGCAAAGGCAGGAAAGCTCACACTCAGGGCTGGGTATGTGCAGAGGTTGTGAGGGTGAAAGTGAGACTCTGAACTGACTTGACCCTGGATGGCACCAGGCTGCCATAAAATCCAGAAGGTATGGCCACCACCTGTGGGAAAAGCGGTGAGGCCAGGGGTGTTTGGGTGGGTGGAAGCAGGTCAGGTATGGAGGAGACTGGTGAGGCCTGGGCTGGGCAGGGGTCCTTGCCCTTGAAGGCAGAGATGGAGAAGAAAGAATGAAGGGCTCCATGGAATTGGAGGCGCAAGTGAGGAGGGAGAGAGATCAGAGGCGAGTCAGCAAGCTGGGTCTTCTGGGGCAGTGATGTTGGCAGGAAATGGACAAGAGACACTTTGAGTGGATTTACGTTTGAGCTAAGGAAGAAATGGAGTCAGCGTTCGTTCCAGCTCACAATAAAATATAGATTCTTTAAGAGAACATCTTTTTGTGCTCAGACCAAATGAATGGATAATCTTGGCCCATTATAGGTGTCTTATAAGTATTTGTTCAGTGAATTCAATGAGCCGATTGAAAGCTGGCAAAGGGATCTCTGTCCCCCAGGCAGGCAGCATGCATAGCAGTGTGTTGCTGGCACACAACACAAATTTTGGTTTGTCATCAGTTACTCTTCCCTCAAATCCACGAGGGCTCTGCCAAGCAGGGCTGCAGCCTTGGCTGGTCAGACGGCCCATCCAGGGAGGAAGGCCACTGCAGCGGGTTCCATGCCTGTGCCCACTTCTCCACCTAGGCCCTCTGCCTGTCTGTCGGTTTGTTTCTTCCCTCCTCATCCCAAGGATTGGGCCCAGCATTCTCCCTTTCCTGCCTAGGTTTGTTTTCTTCCACGGCCTGCAGTTTCTCATCTCTTCACTTGTTTCAGGATCACATGGAAATTTGTTCTCTCCCAAAGACCCACATCTTGCTAGAGTTTTTTAGCTTTGGCAGCAGTGGGCAGGGTGGTATTCAAATAGCACAGTCACTGGCCTGGCACAGATAGGAGAACTTGAATTTACTGGCCTTGGTGCTGGATGCCTTAATGCTCCTGAGCTCTGGCCTTGACTGCAGGGAAAGAGATTTCCATGAACAGAATGTCCAGGGAGTCAGGAGTTACCATGTTACAACAAATAGGGATGGCATTATGTTCTCCACATTCCAGGCCATGGAGGAGTAGAGCCCGGAATGGCGACTTACGGCAAGTTCAAACACCAGTGTTGGTGACCGGTTAGAAGCCCAGCATGAGACTAGGTTTGTTTTCTTCCAGGGCCTGCAGTTTCTCATCTCTTCACTTGTCTCCTTTTCCATGTTGAGAGAAGTTCCCCTTCCCCTTTCCTAGGAGTATCTGTTTCTGTATCTGCCCCTCTGTATCTGTTTCTCTGTATCAAGGGGATGTTTATTCTTCCAGTGTGATAGGTGGCAGGAAGATCTCTGCAGTTGGGGCAGCAAATAAATATTAAATTTAGAGGCAGGAATCCGAGGACCTGGTCAGTTTCCTGCTGCAGAATTTCACGTGGCCTTGGCTGAGTTGGAAGCAGATGCTGCAAAGCACCAAACTTAGGCCCAGGAAGCCAGGGCCACATGAACCCAAACTTATCTGGTGAATCTAGGCATGTGAACCTCTGGTTCCTCACAAGTAGAAGTGGTACCAGGTGATGCATTAAAGAGCCCCTCCCCTTGGAATGTGCTGTGTCCAATTCCCTGCAGAGGTCTGGGTGTCGGGTCTCTGGGATCAGAAGTGCTTAGGACATTAAACATTTGGGTGTCATGTGAGGAGGATTATTCTTAATCATGACTTTTTCTTTTCCCCAGAGGTTTATAATTTGAGGCAGCTGCATTCACTGAGCTTAGCACTCACAATTAGGGGCCCTGAGATATTTTCTTGATTCATATTGTTTGTGCACCTAAAAGGTCACACCCGGTCAGAAAGATCTTCCCTTGGTCTCTGTGGTTTTGGTTTCCTCTCTTTAAATATTCATCTGTCTGGAATTAAAATATCTAGAAAGGACATCCGGGAGAAAGGAGAAGTTCTTTGTTATGGGGTTAACACTCCTTGCTGGGATCTGCGGCACTCTGTCCCTTTCTTGGGCAACAAGAACCTATGGCTAGAAATTAGTCATGGCTATTTTCAGACCAAGCCAGAAAGATGTCACACTCTTTGGAATCCTACTCTTCAGGTGACTGCCTTTGTCTCCACATTTCTTCAGACTTACTATGTCCAGTACTTCCTCAGTTGATGGCTTTTAGACCCTAGAGCTCGGGGAAGATGACAAGAGCTGGTATATAGGTAAAGATGTCTCAGAGACGGTTAAGCACATCAATAAAACCCCTGGGCCTGCCCCAAGCAGCAAGCCACTGACATTGTGAAAGGGGAGGAGGTTGACACATTGATGATGGAGATGCATGATACTCCCTTGTACTGTCACATTGCTGACTTGATTGGCACTCCCAAAGTCACCCTGCAAGTTGCAGCTTTTAATGTAATCAGTGATGGCTCTTACAATGGCAATGCAGGTGACAGCACAGGAGTTCATGATGGTTGCTGTTTGTGCAGGGAACAGGGAATCCAGGGGTGCTGGAACTGAAGAGTGCTTTGTTGCTAACAACCTAGAGAATAAAGAAGCCCTACTAAGGTTGCAATTGGCACAATCTGGGTGCCTCAGAGTTGTTCAGTCTGACAGGTGCCATCTAGACTTTAGTTTCTTAATGATCCGGGCAAGTACATTTTCCCTGGCCGGAAGATAGCCCTGTTCAACTCCTTTGTCATGGGCTGGCAGTGTCTATCCACAATCTGATTGGGCAGGATGTCTGGGAAGCTCAGATGAGGTTTGTCACTGGTTCAAGTACCCAGGCAGTCAGGGATGGTCAGGATGACCAACCCAAGTGAATGGCTGAGGCTGTTGGTGAAGCAGGTTGGCTCTGTGACCTATCTGGCTCAAGACCAATAGACTAAGTCTATTCCAGAGTGTAAGCTGGTCCAGATCAACAGGAGGTGTTGGGTTCCCATCATTTGGGGGGAGACAAAGTTGCTTTCATGGCTGAGCTGGTGGTAGGGTCCAAGACTGATCAACACAGGTGCACCTTGGTAATCAGAATGGGGCCAAGCACTGCAGCTTTTTAGAGCTGGAGGAGCCAGCAGGGAGTTCAGAAATTCTCTGAGTAAGCTCTGGGTAGGTGAGCCCTGAGCCCTTCAAACTCTGGGCACCTAATTAGATCTCTGCTTCAGACAGCTCAGAACAGCAGACCAATCCTTGTGGGTCTTTAAAAAGTTCACTCTCTTCCCCCTATCCCTGTGTTTTCCTCATTGCTTCATTAGAACTGCTGCTTTAGAGCCAAGCTTGACTACCTGGAACCCCCAGTTTGGAAACCCTAGGTTTGAAATACAGGCCCAGAATAATAATTCCACCCCCCCACCTTTGTTCCATAAAATGTGGAGCCACATTGTATGAGTATATTCCCTGAGGTTGTTGACAGGCCAGATCCCCAGGGGATCAATACCCATATGAAAAAATCATTCAATTATTTTAAGAATCCAGAAAACAAAGAAACAAAAGCCACCGTGCAGGCCCAGGACAATACATCTGGTTCTACTTATTTAAAATACTGCATAATCTTATTGACTTTTTGTTCTTGAATTTTGCAAATGAGGGCATTGATTAGTCCTGGGGAGCCAGATCTTGGTGAAGGGTGTGACCCTCTGATTTCTGTGCTTCTGCCAGCAGTCTGGCTTCTCACACAGCCATCTAGGGACACTGACTCATCTGAGGCTTTGTGACAAAGTGTTACAGAGGGAGGGAAAGGGATCAGTGTCCTAGGTCCTCCAGCCGATCCCAGGTTGTGGGACATAGAGCTGGCCTCCCGCCAGCTGGAGGAGCAGATGTAGTTTTTACATCCATCAGTGACAGGCCTTGTTCGGAGAGGAACCTAGGCTTGCTTTGTCATTAAAAAACCCTTTCCCTGAAAATGATCCACACTTACAGGTGCCAGATTTTATAACAAAGTGTATTATTTCATTTTAAAATTAATGCCTCAGACTTCTGTTGCCCCAATTCATTCCGAGGTACCGCTTTCTCCCAAATCTAACTTAAGGACATAAAAGATCTTTGTTATACCAACAATGATAAAGATAAAAACAAAAATATGTTGGTCCCTCTGCAGTAACATCTCATTTAACATTTTTCTTTCAAATTCTACTGCAGATTCAATTCTGTTTTCTGTCCCCCCCCCTGCCCCTTATTGTCAACATTTTGAAATTTCTGCTGGATCTTCACAATTATTGTCATGACTATTGAAGGGCCATATTTTTATTAGGTTTAGGCAATTTAAGTTTCCAAGTTTATAAGTTCATGGTATTATAAACGATACTGCAATATACGTCTTCTTATAGACCTTCCCCCTTATTCCCATTATTTTCTTATGATAAACTTCTAGGATTAGACTGCTGGGTCTTCATTCCCGACATGCTGCCCTGTTGTTCTGGAGAATGGCTGTGTAATATCCAGTGCCCACAAAGTTGAGGTGTGAGAAGCTCAAATATTCACTTTTCTTTTTCTATTGAGACCTTGGGGGTTGAAACCAGGGCCTCCTGCACACTAAACAAGTGCCCTACCACTTAGCTACAGCCTTAGCCCTTTTTTATTTTTTATTTTGAGACAAAGTCTTGCTAATTTGGCCAGGCTGGCCTTGAATTTGGCATCCTCCTGTCTCAGGAGGGTAACTAGGATTACAGGTGTGGGCCCAGCAAAAGTTCACTTGTGAATACCTGAGCAAGGACTTCTCCATCATCTGTGTATCTTTTTTTTTTTTTTTTTTTGCAGTGGAAAATGCTGTTTTTTTTAAAGGTTGCATCTGTACTAAACACATCCAGAATTATCTTCTTGTCACTATCCCTTAAACAGTACAGTATTACAGTATAACAACTATTTATGTAGCATTTACATTATATTACGTGTCATAAATCATCTAAGGGTGACTTTAGAAAGTAATGGTAGAACATACATAGATTATATGCAAACACTACGCCATTTTACATAAGGAACTTGAGCATCCATAGATTTTGGTATCTGTGAATGGGTCCTAGAATCAATCCCTCACTCTGTGTATCTTTTAAAAAGAATTTTATCTATATACCCTGTGACCGGTTCAGTTTCTTTTCCTTGCTAATCAGGTCGACAGGAACATTTTAATCATTAAAATAACAATGAAACCATTTTTATTATGCATTTGGAGTTGACAAAATGCTTTCATATCCAACACCTCAGTTGGAGTAAGGCCCTAAACAACTTGGCAAGACCCTGTCTCAAAATAAAAAATAAAAGGGGCTGGGATGTGGCTCAGTGGTTAAGTGCTCCTGGGTTCCATTCCTGGTGTACACACAGACACACACACAGACACACACAGACACAGACACACACACACACACAGACATAGACACACACAGACATAGACACACACACACACACACACACACACAAGATTACTATTGTCTCCATTTTCAGACAATGAAAATGGAATGTAGAGAGCTGAAGGCCAGCAGGCCCCAAGATGTTCTGGAGATTTGCCCTGACCGCCTCCTATATTTGCCTCTATTTCCCCACCTAGGACTTTGGCAGCCCACGGTCAGTCACCTCCCGGTGTGACTTGAGGGCAAATCTCATCCGAAATGGCTGCGGAGGTGAGATCGAGAGCCCGGCCAGCAGCGCCCGTGTCCTGCGGAACCTGCCTCTCAGCAGCGAGGGCTCCAGTGCTGCGGGCTCTGATGTCATTCAGATGGCGCCCCAGGAGATTGCCGTGAGCCTCCGGCCTGGTGAGTTGCCCTCAGGATGGGCTGGATGCCAGGGCTGAGGAAAGCTCACAGGAGACGTGGGACATGTTGACGTGGGGAAATGAGGAAGAGGGAGGTGAGGCTCAGACCCCAGGAAGCAGAGAACAAGGCCCTTTTGGATGAATGGGATCTTTCCTAGTTTAAAAAAATATACGGTAGAATATATAACATAAGATCTACCATCTTAATCATTTTTAAGTGTATAGTTCAGTTCACCATATGGGGACATCACCACTATTTATTTCCAGAACTTTTTCATCATCCCTAACAGAAATTCTGTACCCATCAGACAGTAGCTCCTCATTCCCGAGGGCTAACCTGTATCTCCTTTCTGTCTCTGTGGATTCGACTGTGTTAGGTCCCTCCTATAGGTGGAACCACGTGTTTGTCCTTTGCTGTTACCCAGTGTGTTTTCAGGGTTCATCCATGTCATGGCATGTGGCAGAATTTCCTTCCTCTTGAAGACTGAATGACGTTCCATTGTATGGGTAGTCCACATTTTGTTTATCTGTTCATCTGTGAATGGACATTGGGTGCTGTTGTTTTTTCTGGGGCTGGTGGATTTACTCCCTAGTTCAGGCAGGTTGCTCAGGGAAAGTGCTACCTCTAGGAAAAAAAGTGCTACTTTCTCCTGTCAGCAAATTCCATTTGAGTCAGTGGCATTCTAAAAGGACAAATTTTTAGCGATATTTTGTTCTATGACCCCAGATCCCCTGCGAGCCCTACAGTCGATGGTCATAGAAGGAAACTAACAGTTTTTGCATAGCCACCATGTGCTAAATACTTGACCCGCCATTATACCCATGAGGAAATAAGCTGCTGAGGTCTCTCAGGAAATGGCCAATCTGATTCAGTGCCAGGTCTTTGTGACTACAAGCCCATGGTTGTTTCTACTTCACCTCTGCCCTCATCTCACGTTCTGCATTTTAGAACCCTTGTGGTGTGAAAGGATAAATGTTCACGTGGCTAAACTGGAAAGTATCACGTTGTTGGACAGGGGCAGAATTTTTCCAAATTCCCTTGCTTTTGGACATTTCATCTATCCTGTGGTCTAGAAAACCACTGGCAATAACTATTTCTAGGTGAAGGTTTAGGCTTCAGGGCAGCTTGGAACAGTGGGATGATTGTGGATCTGCTTGGCTGTTCTGGGCTCCAGCTCTGGCTCTATCCCTAGCTCACAGGCCCTGGGCAGGTGTTTTAGTCAGCTTTTTCACTGCTGTGACTGAAAGACAGTACACTTCACCATTGGTGACAGACTCACCTTTGGCTGAAGGCCTCTCCTGCTGGGACTTTGGTGAGCTAGAAGCTTGACACCCAAGCCAGGAGTATGAGCAGGAATGTCCATCCCTCCGAACATCTGTAGAGGAGGAAAGGTTTATATAAGGGCTTATAGTTTTAGAGGACTCAGTCCATAGACAGCTGGCTCCATTTTCTGGGGCTCCAGGTGAGGCTGAACATCATGGCAGAAGAGTGTGGCAGAGGGAAGTGGCTCACATGGTGATCAGAAAGCAGAGAGGTCTCCACTAGCCACATGCAAATATACACCCCAAAGTCATGCTCCCATTCACACTTCATACAGGCCATACTCCACACCTTCAGTTACCACTCAGTTAATCCCTCTCAGGGGATTAATTCACTGATTGGGTTAACTCTCACAACCTAATCGTTTCTCCTCTGAACCTTCTTGCATTGTCTCACACGTGAGCTTTTGGGGGACACCTCACATCCAAACCATAACAGCAGGTTATTCCTCCCCTCAACATTTCAGGGTCTTTGTCTAGACCCCGACTGGCATGTTCAGAGGCTTACATGAGACTTTTTTGTCTTAAAGGACCTTCAAAAGTTAAAATATTATTTTCAAAGGACAATGACCAAAGGTTCTAGATGTAGATTTGAACGGGGATGCCCAAACTCCTGGATTGCCTGCCCAGAGATCAGGGGTAGGATTAACTGAAGTTGGGAGTTTTGAAAATCTTCTCACTGTAAGTGGCACTCAGCTGTTTGTGTGGTGGGATACTAGGATGAAAGAGCAGAGGAAGGAGTCCTCTCCCAGCACTGAGTGGGTGAGAGCAGAGTCAGCTGAGCCCCAATGTGGAGTGCTGTACCCTGCGGAAAAGAACTCACATGCACACAGGCTCAGGGTGGAGGGTTCTAACTGAGCAGGGGCTGTAAGGCTTGCTGTGGACTATTGGGATATTAGAACATGGTGTAGTATAGGAATGGATATCCACGAACATGAATGCTGTATCTTTCTTTTCATCAGAATAATGGTGTAACAGTAATTTAAAAGAAATTCTAGAAAAATCATCCATTTTAACACATTCTTATTTTGTACTTTTACTATACCTTCTGTCTTCATTTACATGTGTTCATATTTCTGCATACCTATAGTCAGAATGTATTTGTAATCTTGTGCTATTTTCATTCAATAATCTTTGAAGATAAGGAGCAGAAGTCATATTTCCTGAAGGTTTTGTAGTTTCAGCATCCACATCCTGGGAGGCTTCTAATTGTGCTTTTGAAACTTGGCATCTAGAATAGCTCTCAGAACCTGTGGGGTTCTCTCCAAGAAATACCCTCGGTGGCAGCAAATCCTTATTTCTTAGGGTAGATTTAGTTAAGGAAAGAGTTGGATGTCTCACAAAGCCAAAGATGCTACAGTTTTAATGATTCCCATTTTAAAAATTAAAATTAAAGTGCAACTGAAAGTAGAGAGACTGGCTCAACTGACCAGCTGTTTTGAAAACAGCCCCATGGAGGAGTCAGAGAAGCTATTTGAGCCATGACAGGTTTATGCCATTTGCTAATGTATGCTCAACTAAAGAAAAAAGAAATCAGTCTTACTGGGTATAGTCACTTCTCTTGCTAAGCATTGTGGTATTGTTTCCAGTGTTGGAAATGAAAAGGAAAACATGATCCTCTGTTTATACAAAATGCAGGTGCTGTGTGAAGGTCAGTCTTGTGGAACGTTATCCCTGGAGGGCCCAGGGCTGAGGGTTTGAGGTGTCAGAGGGGCTGGCTGCCCCAGGAAGACACACCAAACCAAGAGGATGTTTCAGTCTGTACAGATGAAGACCAGGGAGAGATCCGACAAAAAGATGAATCCCTAAAGTTCGAGAACCATTGTGAATGTGTTTCTAAATATAGAAATACTGGAAACCAAGAGTGTCTCTTAGTTTTTGAAGATATAACCTTAATATTTATAAAAAGGAGTAGAAGTAAACCCCATTTATTAGGGAATATGGGAATGATATGTTGCAGTTAGCAAAATTTTCTGTTTTCCAAGTGCATACTGACCTCAGGAACATTCCCCGGATTCTGAGGGATTCTTCAGGTAGGTAGGGATTGGTTTTTCTCTATACTTTTGAAAATGTTGTCCTGTCTTTTCCCCTGCTCTCTGCTCTGCCCCTCATAATAAGTATTTGTTGAGTGAAATGTGCAACCCTTTGCCAGCTGTACAAAACAGGTCTCAGCATGACATGAAAGATGCTTCATGAAGGCCAAGCTTTTGTTCTGGGATAAATAAAGGAGAAAATGAGAAAGAAAAATAAAAATTTCCTTCTTTAAGCAACACGTTTAAATTTTTTAATTGAATTAATATTCATATATCAAACAATTACAATTCTAAAGTGTGCAGTTCAATGATTCTTAGTTGCAAGGTTGCATAACCATCACCACTGTCTAATTCCAGAACATTTTCATTACCCCAGTAATACACCCTGTTGAGAGCCACAGCCGAGTCAGAATGGCCCCTGGCATTTTGCCAGAAGTAATGGTTGAGAGGCTAGCCATTAAGATGATGCTGGATTGATTCAATTGTATATTAGACCTTTACTGTCTGGTAATAAGGTGGCTCTTGCTGCCTAGGGCGCCCGCTACTTTGGAGTTCCCGTTGAGTTCTCGAGGGGTTCCAAGAGTGAGTGCGCACGCAGCCCGGAGGAGGGAGTTCCGGTTGGTGTGTGGTGTGTTCCTGGAGGAGCCACGTGGGTGGCGTTCGGGAGCGTTCCCGTGGAGTGGGTGTGGAGTGTGCTGGTAGAGTTCGGAAATAAAGTTTGTTCCTGCTTGAGTGGCTCGTGATTTGTGCCCAGCCAGACTGTGGCATTTAATAATTACTCCTTATCCTACCCTCTCCCCTCCTCATCCAGCCCCAGGTGACCACTAATCCACTTTCCATCTCTCTGATTTTTGCCTATGCTGGGTATTTCCTTTTAGTCATATAGCAAGTGGCCATTTATTCATGTTGTAGAATATACATTATCCCTTTTTATGGTCAAATAATATTCCATTGTGTACATGTAGTAATACCACATTTTTAGCTGAAGAACATTTTAGGCTGTTTCCATTTGGGGCAGTTATGTACATTCAAGTATAGGTTTTTATGGGGACATATGTTTTCAATTATCTTGGGTATATAGCTAGGAGTAGAATTGCTGGATCATATGGTAATCCTATGTTTAATTTTTTTTGAAGAACTGCCAAACTTTAAGCAGGATTTTGTATAAACACAGGATCATGTTTTCCATTTTATTTCATTACTGGAAATAATATGTCAGAATAAGAACTTTGTAAAAAATCCCTAACAAAGGACCTAAAACTCTTAAGAAGACATAAACTTTAAAGTAAATCTTATTGGGATGGTCAAAAGCTAGAGGTGGTTTTGAAACTCTAGGATAGTTGGAAATGGATTTTTTAAAGTCATTATTCATCTCAACCCTTTAGCCTCTTAAATTACGACTTTGAGCATTAGCTTTTGTATGTGAGCATTTTAAACTTTTTATTTTTAAATAATTTTAGACTCACAAGAAGTTGCAAAAACAATAACTGTATTTCCCATGTCTCCTTCTTATTTGTCCCCAATGATAACATTTGACCTAACAGGAGTATGTTATCAAAACCAGGAAATTGCCATTGGTACAATTGTGTCAACTAAGCTGCGGGTGGTTGGTGGCTGTTTTCCTGCCAGCCCTTATTTATGGGTTTTTCTCCCCTCTCCTTCCAGGTTCTGTTCTGTTTTGTGTTGGTAGGGATCAAACCCCATGCCCCACACGTGCCAGGCAAGTGCTCTACCCGTGAACTACACCCCAGCCCTTGAGTTCCATTTTGGAGGTGCCAGTTACTGGCCTAGATATTGCCCCTGGACTAGCATTGTACATACTTAAAAGGGTGAAGGACTTTTGATGGTGGATGGACAAGGGGCTATTCTAAGGAAATTGGAACTACAGAGCTTCTGCTTGGAGGCGGGCGCTGTGGAGGCCACCATGACTTGTTCCAAGATTCCATCTATTGGGAGTCAGGATTTTGAGGTGGCAAGTGGGATCCTGTGCAGCCCAGCAGCCTTGTTCTAGACCAGGGAGATGATTCTTTGGATCTAGGTCTGGATACAATTATTTACCTTTTGCATAATGAACAGAAGAGCTGTAGGCATAAGGTGTGCACTAGGGCCCTAATTCTGTATCTGTAATCCTGTTTCCATGTAGGTGATTTTATATTTCCCTTCTTCCTTTCAGTTTCTAGCACAGAAGGGTAATTCTAGGCAATCTAAAGCCACTCACATTTATTTGGAGATGGCAAGTATCTTTGCTGAGATACCATTTTTGTCTTCACACATGAAGAACAATGAATCTTAAAAGTTCTTGCTGGAATTCATAATTCACTCTCTAGAAATGTTTGTCAATGGAGACATATTCCTAAGGAAAACAAATTTCTCACTTTCTATTGAAGAAAGAGCTGAAAGAAGAAAGTGTTAAAAAACGTGTTTGGGGTGGATCGCTAGATGATACTTGATCACAGCAGGAGAGCCTGTACTTAGGAATGGAGACGTGAAAGGAATTCTGTGCAGATACAGCTGGAGCTGGGTGCTTTGGGAACAGGAAAACCCAGAAGGCCGTGAGGGGCCACTTGGGAGAGCACCTTCATCCTCACAGGTGCTGGTAGACAGCTTGTCTTTGGAGTTTTCTTTATTTGTTTCACTGATACTGTCACTGGTCCCCAGGAAAGGAGTACGTGGAGCAACTTGAAAGAGAAGGGGTCTAAGCCTGAAGGGATTCTATGAGGAGAGGGACAGTAAGGGATGACAGATCTGGGCATGTGGCCTTGGGGTGGTGTCACCAGTGTCGGGTACTGCCAGGGAAGGTGAGAAGCACTTCTCCCCCTGCTGGGTATGTGGAGGGAGCCACTTTAACCTCAAGCAGTGCTGGGGAGCACCATGACGGGAGGAGAGGCGGAAGGGCAGACTGTGTCTAAGCCTGTGTGGTTCTGGGTGGGAAATGTGCCCCAGACCTCCCAGCAGAGAGTGCCCTTCACCATTGGTGACAGACTCACCTTTGGCTGAAGGCCTCTCCTGCTGGGACTTTGGTGCGATAGAAGCTTGACACCCAAGTCAAGAGTATGAGCAGTAATGTCCATCCCTCCAAAATCTCTTGGCAGAACATTCCATCGTTACCAGAGCCTATTCAGGTATTTGTGGTATTTAAGATCAAGCATAGTAGAGGTGGCAATAAAACTTCATTCCAAATATGAATGGCATTCCCTCTTTCTTACATCTCTTTCTTTTTAGAAAACCAGGAGAAATGATCCTTTTTAATATTTATAGCCCCCCTTTGAGAAGGGGTGTGTGTTTGTGTGTGTTTTCTTAGTGATCAATTTATCTTAGAATTTAATGCCAACAAATTTCTCACTAATAGATAATCTTCTTAGAGTTTGGGACCTATAAATATCACATCTTGTTTCTGTCTTTGCCTTTATGTCTGGAAAATTTGGAGTTAAATTTATAGGCCCATGGCTGTAGCCATTCAAACTTAAGTTTCTGGCAGAATTTTCCCTCTCTTTTTCATTCCCATAGGAAATTGCTTCAGTAATTGACCTTTTGGGGAATTGAGGTCAAAGATTTCCTTGTGTAGAAGCATTTGTGTGGTATTTATATACATTGTCCCTTTGAATCCCCAGGATAGTTCATATCCTCCCCACTTCACTAAGCGGAAGTGGAACGGCACGTTAGAAGGAACTGAGGTCCCCAGATCCTTGATGACCAGGTTTGGAATGAACCCAGCTTTGTTGTTTCCAAGCCTAGTGACACTCCTAGGGTGATGCCTATGTGTGCCTCCTTGAATCTAAGATAATTCCCCATTTACTGGTCTTAAATCACCTGTCTTAATTATTCATAATCTGCAAAAAGATAGAAGTAGATTCTAGATTTAAAAAAAGAAGAAGAAAAGTTGGGGAGAAGGTAGACAGGTGAATGAAAATGTGGGAGAGCCTGCCAAGAGGAGATGGAATTGGATGGAGGGGATCTGATTGCAGGCTCTGTCCACTTGGGGTTCATCTGCCCTGGCAAAGGCTAATGGGGGTGTCCCTTCCCCCAGTTCCTCCCTCTTCATTTCCTCTGTGGGGTGACATCAAAGAGCCCCCATGCAGGGACCTGCTCTGTCTGCCTGATGGGAGCCAGAGACATACCGCAGCAGTCCGGAATTCATTCTGGAAGAAATCTCAAACATTTCTTCTGTTTGAGTCAGACGGATGCTTTTTTAAAAATAGACTCATACCAACAGGCAATGCAGACTACATCAGTCCTGAGGTAGCTATAACAGTGCATGGAAAAAACATATCAGGAAGCAGGCTTGAAGCTGCCATTTTGGCTGCAAATAGTAATTATAATAATCATACTTCATTTATGGAAGGCTTTGTTGCTATAGGACTTTTCTCTCCCACACCACTGCCTCACAGCCTCAGTCAGTGCCGTGAGCTTTGTGGTTGTTTTTTCTATTTCATATTTAAGGAAATCAAGGCTCAGATTGTACCTCTAGTCGAGGGACAGAAATGAAACTTGAACTGAAATCTTTTGATCACTGGATTCTTCCTGGTTTAGCTCACGAAATATGCCTTGTATGCGGTGGGAGGAGAGGGAGCATATTGGATGGGGTTTCTGTCCTGCAGGTGCAGGGAGGCTTTGGCTTGTTGGCTATCAGCTAGAGATGAAAGATTGGCTTCTTTGGATGTGGCTGCAGTTAATCTATGTAGACTCTGTGGGCACAAGCAAGGCCACCTTGGCTGGTGCATGTGAAGAATATATCCGAATTTGAATCGTGCATGGACATTTCGGCTCTGGGATAAACAGAGCATGTCTTAGTATTCCTGAAAGGCTAATAAGCCCCAGGCAGGTTGAGTTACCTGGTATGAATTGAATCTTGAAGTTGGTTCTAAGTGATATGCTTTCGGAGATTATGAAATGATATAAGGATCATTATCTTTGGTCTTCTGATAATAACCCTGACTTGGGCCTGTCTCTAAATCTTGGACAGTGAGGTAGCAAAGGACACACTTAGACATTGGCTCTTCTCCTTAATCTCTTTCTGTGAATTAATTCCCCTTTTCTGTGAGCTCTCTTATTGTAGAGCCAAAAATCATTTTCTCTTTCTTATAACTGGTCAACAAATCTAGTGGTGTCTTTTTTTTTTCTTTCTGTTGTTTTTGGTAGTTATTCTTTTATTTTCTTCTCTTTTTGTTTCTTCTTCTTTTCTTTTTAACGAAGCTAAAATTTGGAATCCATCTTCCTGTATTCATACATGTGATTTCAGACAATGAGTTGGGTGTGTGTTGTCCCCAAATGTCAAATATGTGGAAGAACTGAACACTCTTGTCTGGTGAATGGCTGGGGAAATAGAGACTGGTGACGTGGCACAGGCCTAGATACTTTTTTTTTTTTTAAAGAGAGAGAAGACAGAGAGAGAGAGAATTTTTTTTTTTTTTAATATTTATTTTTTAGCTTTCTTTGGCGGACACAACATCTTTGTTTGTATGTGGTGCTGAGGATCGAACCCAGGCCACACACATGCCGGGCGAGCGCGCTACTGCTTGAGCCACATCCCCAGCCCCAGGCCTAGATTCTTTTGCCCTTTGGGGTATTTTAAGTAGCTGTCTTTGTTGCCCGCCCTCCGTGACTTGTGTGTCTCTATCTTCCCCACCTGGTTCTCACTTGTGTCCACTCCTCTTGTTAATTCCTTCCCTGTTTTCTGACACCTCCTTCCCATCTGGGCTGGCTCCTTCTCTGGAGGGGATCGTGGTTGGTGGGCTACTCTCCACCCCGTTTGTGTCCATGGAATCGTCTGGCTCACTGTCTGCCAGTTATCTAAGGGTCTTTGGCTGAGAAAATAGAATACCCCCAGGGAGTCTGGCTGTTGAAGAGCTTCATTAGAGACGCTGCTGGTTCAGGAGTTTGGGGAGGAGAATCAGGGTCTTCACTTGAGGCACCATATTCCCTGCAAGCACTCTACTTCTAAGAAAAAAATCTTTCTTCTGGGAGGTACACCATCACTAAAAAAAAGCAAGAGGTGGAGCAGCTTTGAAATCCCCCAGCAAGTTGGGTGGCCTCTAAGGTGTGTGGCCTCTCTGTTGGCACAGGTGACCAGACCACCTTCCAGCTGCAGGTTCGCCAGGTGGAGGACTATCCTGTGGACTTGTACTACCTGATGGACCTCTCCCTGTCCATGAAGGATGATTTGGACAACATCCGAAGCCTGGGCACCAAGCTCGCTGAGGAGATGAGAAAACTCACCAGCAACTTCCGGTTGGGCTTTGGGTCTTTTGTTGACAAGGACATCTCTCCTTTCTCCTACACGGCACCCAGATACCAGACCAATCCATGCATTGGGTAAGTGGCCGCTGCTCTACTGTCAGGTATGGGGAGGGGTAGGGATGGAGTAGTGGAAAACTTATCCCAAGGAAGGATGTTTAGGAGCACTGACCAGGCTTAGGCATTTAATCCAATTAGTGATGACCAAGTTCTGTCCTTGCCCTACATATGAAGAAGTGAACTGTTACAAGGTTCATAGCTCATTAATTTTCTTGCCTGCCTCACTCAGCACCATTTTCTTACATTAACAGAATTTAGAAAATATTCTTATGGAGTCAAGGACCCAGGTTGAGGGCTGGGGTTGTGGCTCAGTGGTAGAGCATTCACCTAGAATGTGTGAGGCACTGGTTTCAATCCTCAGCACCACATAAAAAAATAAATAAAATAAAGATATTTGAATAAATGAATTCAGAATTGTCCCTATTATTTATGTAAGTAACTCTAACTTATCTTGACAAAGCTGAATAAAAACCTTGTGTTTTGGGCTGGGGATGTGGCTCAAGCGGTAGCACGCTTGCCTGGCATGCGTGCGGCCCGGGTTCGATCCTCAGCACCACATACAAACAGAGATGTTGTGTCCACTGAAAACTAAAAAAATAAATAAATATTTAAAAAAAAAAAAAACCTTGTGTTTTAAAGGTATGAACTTTTTTTAATGTAACTCAATACCTGAATTAAAGAATATTTGATGAATTATTAGAGAACAGAAATTTCTGAATGTTAATGCTGAAAATAAAATTCAAAAGTGTACAATAGCTCAAACTTTCTAAGAGTTTGTTTCTTGCTTATCTAAGTCCAATGGGGTCTCCTGATCAGTGACTCAGGGACCCTGTGTCCTTCCATCTTCTGTGTATGGATTGCAGGTCATCCTACCTGGAGGATCAGGCATAGCAGGATTAGATGAGCCTGGTCTGAAGTGCCCTTCCCATTCCTGTTCCCACATTCTATTAGACACAACTGAATTCTAGTAAGGATGGGATGCTCGTTCAGCTGCATGCCCAGGAATAAGAGAAAATGGGCCTCAAGGTTGGTCTCTGCATGGGGTTTTCATGTGTAGGTGTATGTTGGGGGATCGCAATCTTCAGTGCCCCTGACAAAACCTCTGTTAGGTTGGTTTCTTTCTTTTCTAGTCTTTCAAGTACCCCTTTAAATACAACATTATGCAATGTGACTTCATACAAGTGGTAAATAACACCTTTTTCTTGCTTCATCTCTACATTTTCAACTTCAGTGATGTTTTGGATTATAAGGTCTGAAAGTAGTCACTAGCTAAGGAACAGCTAAGTTCTTACTTAGTGTCAGGCACCATACTAAACACTTCAGATAGATTCTTTCATTCCTATCAAAACAGCCTTTTCAGGCTTCTAAGGTAGATGTAAGCCAGATTTTAAAGATGGGGAAAGTGAGGCTTAGAGAAAACAAACAACTTAAGAGTGCACAGGTAGTAAGGGGCTGACCTGGGGTGTGAATCCAGACAGACTACTTTCAGACTCTGCATTCTCATTAACATAAAGCCTGTTTTCCCCATGCATGTCACCCTACAACCCAGAGACTTTCAAAGTCACCCAACAGCTGCCCCTAGGGGCTACCTGAGCTGCAGTAACAAGCAACCCCCAGATCTCCATGTCTCCCTACAATCCAGCTTTTTCTTACTTGAACGAATTCTAATGAGTACTGAGCTGCTTTCCTTGGCAGCTCTCCTTCAAGCCGTGACTCAGGGATCTAGCCTCCTTCCATCTTGTGATGTCACTTTCAATTCTTGGTCTCCCACAGCCACCCAGGGGAAGAGAGCGGTTTTTAAGCCCCTGGGCTGCCTTTCCCTCCAGCTCATCTTTGGCAGCTCAACAGCTCCCAGGTCTGAGTCGGGTTGGGTGGTTGGGTGAGGTGACAATGTGCTGGTGGCCTGTGCTCCACGAATACTTCCTGGTCCTGTTGTTTACTCTCCTAGAAGCCTCTTCAGATCTTCTCCAGGGGTTGAGAAGTGACATAATGGTGGAAAAACAATGAGATAATAAAAAGTTTTGAGGACAAATAGACTCTTAAGTTCCTTCACGAAGAGCGCTAGGTGTCATCATTTGTCGGTTTTGCTTCCTCTAGGCCATAGGTGGCCACTGGCATTCTTAGGTGCCATCTCCAAGGCCCTTATCAACCAGTCCCCGTGCCAAATGTCCTGTTGGAGATTTCCTGCTTACCAGGAGCAGCAAGCAGCATCATACCCAAAACTTTTTTTCAAATCATTTGGACCCGTGATCCCATCTGCTCCTTTCCTTCCCTGCCCTGCCTATGCCCCATCTCCAGACAGGGTGTGTCTCACTAACTGAGATGCTGGATTAGAAGCTGGCAGAGGATCAAGGACTGGCCATGGGCACTCATCATTTGAATACTCCAGGCTTTCCGCATTGCTTATTCAGAGCTCGCTCTCTAAGCCCTCCAAGGCAGAACCAGACGCAGACAGTGAGATTCTTGACCGGCCATGAGTACAAGGCACACTGAAAAGCAGCTTGTAAGACAGGAAATCCAGTGAAAAATGGGAGTTTCGAAGGAAGCATCAGTTCTCTGTGACAGAAATCTCTGTCCTCTGAGCTGAGTAGTAGGAGGGGGGTCATTGTGCTGAGATTTCCCTCCCCAGATCCAGGCTGTGCAGCATCCTGCTTCTTCAAATATCCTTGCCACTGCTTGGGGAGAATAGCACAAACCAGGGCAGGTAATCTGGCTGTCCCTGTGCCTGATCCAGTCTGTATGTGACTTTTGTTTGCCTTTCAGTTTTAACAGCACTGCAAATAAATTACCAGAATTTTTTTTTTCTTTTTCAGCTAGCCTTTACTGTTCCCCCCCCCGCCGCTTCTACATTTTTTTTTAATGGGTGCATCATAATTGTACATATGATGAGATATTTTTTGGTTACATATTTGTATATGCACACAATATAACAGTGTAATTTGGCCAATATCACTCCCCAACACTTCTCTCCTTCCCTGTCACCCACTTCTGGGTCCCTTTCCTCTATTGATCTCACTTTGATTTTCATGAGATCTCTGAACTTCCCCCCTTCTTTCCCATTTTCCTCTCTAGTTTCCCAATGAGAGAAAACATATGACCTTTGACCTTCTGAGTTTCACTTAACATAATGGTCTCTAGTTCTATCCATTTTCCTGCAAATGACATGATTCATTTTTCTTTATGGCTAAATAAAACTCCCATCATGTATATATACCACATTTTCTTTATCTATTCATCTGTTGATGGACACTTAGGCGGCTGGTTCCATAGTTTGTCAATTGTGAATTGTGCTTTTATAAACAAGAACATTGCATATATCTCTATTGTATGATGATTTTAATTCTTTAAGATAACTTCTGAGGAGTGGTATAGCTGGGTCATATGGTGGTCCTATGCCAAGTCTTCTGAGGAACCTCATACTGTTTTCCATAGTCATACTAATTTACAGTCTCACATTGTAAAAGTGTTCCTTTTTTCTCCACATCCTTTCCAGCATTTATTATTATTTGTATTCTTGATAGCTGCCATTCTAACTGGTGTAAGATGAAATCTCAGTGTCGTTTTGATTTACCTTTCCCTAATTGTTAATGATGTTGAACATTTTTTCATATATTTGTTGCCCATTTGTAGTTCTTCTTTTGAGAAATGTCTATTTAATTCACTTGCCCACTTATTAATTGGGTTATTTGATTTTTGGGGGAGGTAAGTTTTTTTGAGTTCTTTATATATTCTGAATATTAATCCTCTGTCAGAAGAGTAGCTAGCAAAGATTTTTCTGCCATTCTGTATGTTCTCTCTTCACATTCCTAATCGTTTCCTTTGCTGTGCAAAAGCTTTTTAATTTGACTCCATCCCATTTATTAACTCTTGGCATTACTTCCTGAGGTTTAGTGGTCCCATTAAGAAAACCATTGCCTGTGCCTGTAGGCTGGAGTGTTGACCCTAAGTTTTCTTCTAGGAGTTGCATAGTTTCTCTTCTGATTCCTAGGTCTTTAATTCATTGTGAGTTGATTTTTGTGCAGGGTGAGAGATAAGGGTCTAGTTTCATCCTTCTACCTATGATATAACCAGTTTTCCTGACACCATTTGTTCAAGAGTTTATCTTTTCTCTAATTATGTTTTTGGCACCTTCATCAAGGATCAGGTGACCTTGATATGTGGGTTTGTCTCTGTGTCTTCTATTCTATACCAATTGGTAGTTACCAACATTTAAAACACAAGATATGGCCAAGAATAACTAGGATCGCTGGATTTTCTTGGAAAACAAGGAGGTCCGGGAACATTGGGTTTGTGCCGCAGTCCACACCCATGCTCTCGTCTTGTTGCTGTTTGCATTCTGTGCTTGAACTAGGGAGACCTTTGCTTGGCATCCTTCTCTGACCGTCCATTTCCTCCAGCTAATGGGGAGAGGAGAAGTATGGTTATTCCCAGTCTCTAGCAGCACCTTCAGTTAGGATTTTCTCCCCTGGAGTGGTAGGAGCAGCAATGGCAGGCCCCAGGAAGTTTGGGGCAGCCGGGTAAGTCAGGGGATTTGATACCTGTGCAGGAAGGAAAGCCATATATCGGGGGTTCCTGAGGTGTGTCCCTTCTTCCTCTGCTCCAGATGTGTTTGCCAAGGGATCCAAATCCTGAACTCATCCCTTCCCATTGTAGAATGTACCAGAAATGCCAAATCTGAAGGAAGAAGGGCTGCCATGGGAAGAAAAATTGCACAGAGTAACTTAAGTGTCATAGTGGAGTACGGTCCAGTTGCTATTTTGAATAATAGGAACAGTTTCACTGGGAAGAGTCACTTGATGCTCGCTGACACAGGATTTGTTCTTTCCAATTCTGAACACTTCTTTCTATTGTATTAGGATGTTGAAATACATCTCATATGGAAGCATTTGCAAGTGAGCCAATACATTTCATCCTTCATTATGTATATTTTTTCTTACCCATTGTGTATTTCTCCCCAAAAATCACAGTAGTCCTTTGCCACCTTGAAGGTGTTACCCACTTCTTCTGGCCTCTTCATGGCTGATATGGCATCGGCTGTTTTTCTAGTCATTGTGTTTCTCTATAGTGATTTTTAATTTCTTTAGTGATATGCACTCCTGTGTGTCCAGGTGGATTTGCTTTTATCTACACTGCTTGTAGCTTGGTCTGCTTTTTTCTTCTGGGAGCACATCTTTTTTTTTTGGTACCGGGGATTGAACTCAGGGGCACTTGATCACTGAGCCACATCCTCAGCCCTATTTTGTATTTTATTTAGAGACAGGGAATCACTGAGTTGATCAGGCCTCACTTTTGCTGAGGCTGGGTTTGAACTCACCATCCTCCTGCCTCAGCCTCCTGAGCTGCGGGGATTATAGGCATCCGCCACTGCTCCCAATCTGAGTGCACATCTTTATTCTTGAAAGTTCTGACCTTATTTCTCTGACTGCTTCCTCTCTCATGTTGTCTCTGTTTTCATCGGGACACTGTTAGGTGGCAGGCTTCTCACTCTAAATTTCACGTTTCTTAATTTTTCTCCCCTAATTTTACTCTTCTCTCTCTTTTAGTTACATAATAGAAAATTTCTTCTAGTTTACTTTTATTCTTCAGTTTCAGCTTAATCCAGACACCAAAATTTTATTTTTTAAAAATATTTTTAGTTATAGATGACACAATATCTTTATTTTATACTTTTATGTGGTGCTGAGAATCTAACCCAGTGCCTCACACATGTTAGGCAAGCATTCTACCACTGAGCCACAGCTCCAGTCCCACTAAAATTTCATTTTTGAGCATCAGTGACTATATATATTTTTTACTACTATAATTTTTATTTGGTTCTTTTTCAGATGCTCCTATTTTTCTTTTTTTTGGCAGTGCAAGATTGAACCCAGGGCCTCAAACATACCAGGCAAGCACTCTACCACTGAGCCACAGCCTCGGCCCTTTTTATACAATTTTTCTTAAAGCCTTCTATTTTTTTTTTAATTTAATTGTTTTGTTTTGTTTTTCTAACCTTTGGCTTCTATTTCTTCCTCTTTTTAAATATCTTAAATATTCTTATAAAGAATTTCAGATCATTTTGTTCTCCCCATTTCTTGAATTGTGGTCCTTCAGTGCATTGGATTTGCTGACATTCCTTCCTGATGGTTTGTTTCTCTTGGAGTTTGTGTTTCCTTAGTTCATCTTGGAGGCTGTTTTCCATCCGGGGACCACATGCCCTGGAGTGCTGGCCCCCTACAGAGCAGCTTGAAGTTTGCTGCTGCCAGGAACCTTCAGCACTCACTGTGGAACTAGTTTTCCTGTTAATTTCTCAGCTGGGGCTTCCTTTGCCCTAAAAGTCATGAGTTCTGATTGCTCAGACCTGGGGTTCTTCTTGCTCCTGGCTTAGAGTGGGAAGTGAGCTTTCTTGTCTCTTTCCCAGGGTGGTGGCTGGAGATGTCCTGTGCTTGTTTAGTGTGTGGCACTTGGCTCTATCTTTGCAGAGAGCCCTGTGTCAGGGCTTGGCTTCTGCAGGCCTGGGCTCGTCACCTGCTCGGTAGAGGCCTCCTCTAAGCCTGCAGGGCCTCTGTTCTGCCCTGACACATCCCAGCTCCCTCCCGCACATTTCCTGATGCTCTTTAGTCCATTCATCTGTGGAATGGTTCCTTCTTCATTTCTGACGCCTGGGATTTACATTCTACGCTTCTAGTCTTGGCTATCTATTTAAATTTTTAAAAACTGTATTTTATCCAGAAATTCTCTACGTCTAGAGTAAGAGGCAATCCTTTCCACATCAGATCAATCCACATTCTTGTCCTAAAAATTATATTGTTTTTTAGATTTATCTAGATCTAGTGTCTTCAAATTGGATTTGCTTTTTATACACACATTCGCCCTTCTCCTTTTTGAGGGGAGGGGAGGGTTAGTAGAGAATAAACTTAGGAGTGCTCTATTACTAAGCTACACCCCCAGCCCTTTTTGTTTTGAGACAGTGTTTCACTGAGTTTCTGAGGCTGGCCTTGAACTTGTGATCTTCCTCAGCCTCCCAAGTCACTAGGATTATAGGTGTGTATCACTGAACCTGGCCTGGTTAATAACCTTTAATTTTGTAACTCCCTATAAATAACCCTAAACTGGTATCCTATAGCACAGACACAGTGGCAGTAAGATAGTCTCCTAGCAGGAGACCCCAAAACAGCCAGATCTCCAGGCCACTCAGACCACAATTCCAGAGGTTAGAACAGATAACTAGTCACAGGTGACATCCTATTTCAGTGACAATGGAAATATTCCCAGGGTCTGTGTGGCAAAGCTGCTTTCCTCTCAGAAGTGTCTCTGATTTGGTTATAGACATATTCTGCAATGCAGGCTTCTCTCTGGCAAACACATTTCCTAGTTCCTAACTACTGAACAGTGATCCTACGCAGTAAAAAATGTTTCTGCTCATTGCTGGTTGCAGGAGTGACAGGGAAGATGTAGAAAATGCTGAGCTCTAGCTGCACGGCTCACAGCTTTCCGGATTTTTCTCATTTAATTGCAGTTATTCCATTTTTCTCTTTTCTTCCCACAAATTGTGACAGTAGACACATGCCTGAGGTCCTAAGTCATGGGCTAGAACGACATAGTGGGGAGAAGGGACTTGGAGGAAGAGAGACGGCGGTGAGACTGTGGATGCGTGGCTTCCTTCTGAGCCTGTCCATTGGTCACGTGGGACCACCGTTCCTACTCCAAGGGGGAATGTCATCTCCATGACTGACTCTCCTATGACAAAATGAAGAGGTCGTGAAGAGTCCTGGTGGCCTGGGGTCAAAAAGATCCTGACCTGTCTAAGCACAGGGTGTTCTTGAAGATTTGGGGAGGGAGTAAGGAGGAGAACCCAGGGAGGGCAGGTGGGAGGCCTGGCTGCTGCCTGCCCAGGAGAACCGTGGCTGTCCTGGGAGGAGGGTTGACTCTGTCCTGCTGGAGCTGGCTTGCTGTGAGGGCTCTGCGCCAGGGTGGTGTGACGGTGGCAGTTGGAGCAGGGACTGTCTCCCTGAAGAGGACTCAGAGAGCCAATGGCTGCCTCTTTGCAGAGGAGAGGAACCTGCCCAGACCCGCCCTGCTGAGGTTGCCTTGGCAGCGGCGAAGTCAGTGTCCTCCTGGCAGCCGATAAGCCTGTTTCCCTTCCCATGCACACAGCTTAGATCGAATCCAAAGCCTTCCCCCAGACCTTTCTGTTAGAGCTTATTTTTCATCTTTTTTTCAGAGAGAGAGAGAGCGAGAGAGCGAGAGAGAGACTGAGACTTCCTTTAATGTGTCCACAGACCCTGTGTTTCTGGGCCAGGGTGCCTTACCCCTTACTCTCTACTTGTAGCACCACCAGCCTTCCTCTGTGCCCTTTCTGCCACAGGACTTTTGCACATGTGCCTCTCTTTGGATGCCACACTCTCCCTTCTTCCCCTTTATGTGGTGAACCCATTTGTAAAATCAGGCTTCTCTTCCTATTGCATTAGCTGTATCAACTTGAAGCTCCTAGACTGCCATTGAGAGCTAACTTCCTCCAGGAATGGGACTACTTGAGGTTTCCACAGCAGATTAAAGAGGTCATTGCCCAATATTTCAAGAGAAAAGCCTGAAATTAACCCTCTGTTGACATGCAGTTCTTCTCCCTTCCAAGTTTCCAGATACAGTTTCCCCTTTGAAGATGCTTAATTTCCTAGTGATTTCTGCAGCATCTAGGAGAGCTGCTAGTTTATCAGAGAAGTGTTTATAAATGAATAAAAAAAATTAGAATGTTTTCATGCCTGTTCCATTTAGCATTTGTTTGTACCAGCACACCCAGGTGGTCACTGAGTGGGTTGTCATAGAGATTATGGCACCTTTTGTCACACAGCTGCAACACAGTGGATGTGAGAACCTGGTTTCCTAGAGGAATTCTGCTTACGTTGCCCTTGGTGGACGTGGTTCAGTTTGCCCATGCTGCTGGTCCCAGTCATCTTTCAAGGCCCATGCTAAGTTCTCTGTCCACGGAAGACCACAAAATCTCCACCTCCTCTGAGTCATTGGTCCGTACCATTCACTTGCGTGGTTTAGGCTGTCTTGCCTGTGGTTAGGGCTGGATGTCTGGAGAGTGGGACTTGTATTATTTATCTTTGTTCTTTCCACAATGCCTGTCCCAGGGCATGTGGTAGGTGCAGAATAAATATTTACTGATGTCTCCCAAGGCACAGAACACTTGGTTAAGATTTAATGGTGATGTTGGGAAAGTGACTCTTCTCTTCTTTCTCTCTAGTTACAAATTATTTCCAAACTGCGTCCCCTCCTTTGGGTTCCGCCATCTGCTGCCTCTCACTGACAGAGTCGACAGCTTCAATGAGGAAGTTCGGAAGCAGAGGGTGTCCCGCAACCGAGATGCCCCCGAGGGAGGCTTTGACGCAGTCCTCCAGGCAGCTGTCTGCAAGGTAACTTTTCTTTCTGGTCCCCTCCTGGTGCAGAGAAGACAAGGTAGAGAGAATCAGTGATGGCACTTCCTGCAGGAGGTGGCAGAGTGTGAGTCACACCGGCATGTGGGTCCTGTCTACTCTTCCACCAGAGGCTGAGCTCTGTAGCACCTTGGGAAAATCTATAGCAGTCAAGTCAGCTGGAGCTGGGGACGGATTGGGCTGTATGTGTCTGTCAGGGTGTGGCCATGTGCAATGGGATACTGTCTTTGCCAGGAGACAGCTGTTCTGTGTTTATGAATTTGGCTTTTTTTTTTGCTTATTACCAGGGGAAAAAGTAAATGTCAACCCTTATACAGAGAAGCTCATAGAGCTATCTGGCCCAATTTTGGTAGACCTTAAAGACTGCCCTGTTGGAGAATCCAGCCCAAAATGAGAATTGCATGACATCTCTGGTTGCATTTCTCTTTATTTGGGTTTCTCCTGCTTCCCTATGATGTGTGAATCCAGGTTGAGGACATAGACTTAGGTCAGAAATGAACTCATGTTTTGAGCAGTTGCAATCTCAGAAAAATAGATAAATGGTAATAACTTATTCCTAAATAATTTTCAACTGTGAAAACAGCCCAACAACAACAAATGATAAAAAGAAGTGTCTTGAGCTCATGACCACAGCACATGCCTTGATTTTGTGCACACATTGAGCATTTTTCTGTAGTGATCATCATAGAGTATGTGGAATTGGTAATGCTTTCTTGCAAGTCCAGGCAAGTTCATTAGTAGTGGGTGTTGGGGACTCTTCTGTTTGGGAAGGGAACCCAGTTTAGAGAGGCTGCATGTGGCAGCTGCCATTCACTTACTGATCAGCACCTCGTCACCCACTTCCAAAAACGTCTGAGCGCAGAGACCATGTTCAGGGTGACATGGTCGTTTTTTCTCTCCACTCGGTCCTTGACAAGGACAAGAAAAGAGCCACAGTTGTCCTTTTTGAAATAAGAAACCCTAAATGATAGAGATGGATAAGGGGAAGGAAAAAAAGGAAAGAAAGCAGCACACCCTTCGGTCCTCCTGGAGCGGAAGGTGGCAGTGGCTTCCCATCCAGGATGGCTGCTGGCCAGAAACACATGGTTTGGTTCAGAAGTCCCTGGTGTGTTTTGGCAGTCTGAAAGCCAGATGGAACACAACTAGAATATGTTCAGCTCTGAATCTTTAAAATGTATCACAAAATAGTTTCGTAGTTGATGTTTGTTTTCTGTACCAGGAATTGAACCCAGGGGTGCTTGACCACTGAGCCACATCCCCAGCCATTTTTCACATTTTAGTTAGAGACAGGGTCTTGCTAAGATACATAGGACCTTACTAAGTTGCTGAGACTGGCTTTGAACTTGCAATCCTTCTGCCCCAACCTCCCACTTTTTGACAGGCATTCAGATATTGATTGTACGAGGCCTTGTTTTCACAGACATTCAGCCAAATTCTACTTCTTGGCAGGAAACAAATGGAACAGGGAAAACATAGATCTTCCTCATCTCCCCATCTTGAGAATTGTGTGGATTTTCTTTTTTCAGGGGAAGAAATCGCCTAAGGTTTGGTGAGTGGGGGACGAACCCAATAACAGGCATAAGCCATGTCCATTAATTCTGCTAGATTAACAATGTCATCGAGTGCTGGATCCACAATGGTCTTTGAAAAGCCATTGGGTACACCTTGAGCCAGCAGAATTTTCCTGTGCCATCCCAGATGAATGGAATATTCTAGCCCTTGCAATAGTCAGTATGAGAGAGGATTCTAGCAGGTTGTCCGAACCTGGTGAATTATTGTTAACTGGGAGGTACTTTATGAGCATGTTAACAGCCTTATACCTCCTGCAGTTTTCACGTGGCCTGGGCAACAGGGAGTATAGGGAAAGTTAATAATTGCTTAGAATTGTGCAGTGTGGCAGCCACCAGCTCCTGTCTTCACCTTTGCTTTTCCTTTGTGCTGCCAGTTTATATTTAGGCACGCATCAAGCCATTTCTCTCTCATTTGAAGTCACCTATTTATAATAAATACCATTTTCCATAGTTTACTGCACCCTTGCTTATTGTAGCAAAAAATTGGAAATAGACTATGGTCTCCCTTTTGGTAAAAGATTATGTAATAATCATAATATTAAAAATATTTAGTGACTGAGTAATACCTAAGACAAACTAAGGCGGGGGTGGAAAGCAAGTTATAAAACAGAATGGACAGCATGATCCTGTTTGGCAGACAAAAGAAAGAGAAATATATGAAAAATATTGGAAGTAGACCAAAATGTATAATAGTAATTGTCTCAAGTGGTTGAGTTATGTGTGATTTTTATTTTTTCTTGTCGATTTTTAATTTTGTATTTACCTAAGTTTCCACAATGAATATGTACTTTTTTTTTAAAATTATGAAACATCTCAAAACACAAAAGTAGGGAGAACAATCTATGCATCCTTGGCCAATTTGTTTCATATGTGTTCACAACCTCCCTATCTCCTATTGTTTGAAATAAATCTCAAATATCATTCTGAAGTCCTAAGCATTCTTTGCTTTGTTTACTGAGTTTTCTGGCTCTTTCCATTTGCCCAGATTGAAAGCCTTTCCACTTAATCCTGCAAACTGTGTGTAACAGAGGGTGGAGGCCTGGAATCTCTTGCACTTGACTGGGTGCCTCCTAAGGGCTGGAGTTGCCTGGACAGTCCCCCGGGCTCCAAGCGGGGCATGCTCTGCTTCCCCTGACTTTATGCTCTTGGAGATGGAGCCAATAACAGGCTTTATCTCACTGCCACAGGAAGCTCCTGCCTCTGGTTTCCTTCTCACCCTGGTTTCTCCGGGATGAACTGTTGGTTATCAACTTGTGGGACAGGGTTATAGAATGTTTACGTGACTGATTTTAAATCCCACCTGTGTGACCTGCTGCATATTCCTTGAAAATCTGTTCTTTGCAAAAAGGAGGAAATTCCTATTTCTATTTAGGATTCTATTCAGGATAAGGACCCTGTTCTGTGAGTGGTCGTTTGAAGTTGCTTTGTTTTTCCCCAGAAGGTCACGTTGCTGCGAGAGGCAGTTTAACTGCATCCATTACCAGCTGGGTTGGAATGGGAGATGCCACTGCTCTTAATTTCTTGTCTTCACTTTGAAGCCTATGATCGAACCTGTTTGTACTTGTTTAAATACAGAACGATTTCTCCTGATACTAGTCTTATTGCTCTCCCAGGTCTTTCTAGAAGTTTTCTCTAATTTGTTTATTTCTGAATTACACAGGTATAAAAGTGTGGTGGGTGGTTCAGGCTGGAGGTATTCCTGTTCTTCCCAAATAGGAAGTGCCTGTATCCTCAGGAGCTGCTGCCAAAGAGTTTCTGGTTCCAAGTTGCCAGTCCCCACTTGGCTGCTTTCATGGCTTTCAGGTTAAAGAAGTTGCTTGTGCATTTGGGCTTGGCTGGGTGCCTGCTGTTGCATGGGATTCTATGGGCTGCGGTCTCCTGTCAGCCAGAAAATAAGGTCTCTGTGGCCCAGTGCATTTCCTTGTGTGCCTCAGCTTCTACTGCCCTGGCATTTAGCCTCTGTATCCTTTAGACGGACTTTCTGTTTTAATCCTGATTCTCTAATTTTGCATTGAGAGGTAAATTTTTAAAGTTGCTTTGTGTAAATAATAGATTGTTTCTGATGTATATTGAGCCCTTTATTTGCTAGTGAAGGCATTCTAATCTAAAATGGAGACCACAGCCCCAGAGGTGGGACCTCTTCACACTGACAGACTTTCCACAAGAATACAGAATCTGTGGGCTTTGAGAAACAGAAGTGACTGCTACCCTTGCTTGATTGTCACTCATATGCCAGATAATTTTTGTATACCTTTCTTTACTTTTTTTATGGTGCTGGGAATTGGGTGCAGGGTCTCATGCGTGCTAGGTAAGTGCTGTACCATGGAGCTACACCCCCAGCCTCGATCTTGATTTTTTTTTTTTTTTTTTTGGTACCAGAGATTGAACCCAGGGGTACTTAATCACTGAATCACATCTCCAGCCCTTTTTTATTTTGAGACAGGGCCTTGCTAAGTTGCTGAGGCTGGCTTTGAACTCATGATCCTCCTGCCTCAGCCTCCCGAGTTTCTGGGATTACAGATGTATGCCACTGGTCCCTGCTTAATTTTGGTTCTTCTAAGAGTCCTATGGTGTATTGGTGGTGGTGGTTCTCATTTTACAGGTGAGGAAACAGAGTATCACAGGAATTACACTTATTTTTAGTGAGGAGTAGGATCAGGACTTGGACCAGGTCTGGTTAAGTCTAAAGCCCTGGGCCTTTCCATTACCTAGTGACTGGGCCTTCTGGAAGTTTTCTCTAATTTGTTTATTTCTGAATTGCACAGATAGAAGTGTGGTGGGTGGTTCAGACTGGAACTATTCCTATTCTCCCCAAATAGGAAGTGCCTGTATCTTCAGGAGCTGCTGACATTTTATCAATAGCTGCTATTTTATCAATAGTGCAATGCAGAGCCCTGTCATTCTGCCCTGGCATCTCCCTCTTCTGCTGCTCACTGGCTGGCTCTGGGCTCCTCTGGGAAATAGAGGAGGGTAAGGGGGGAGGAGCTCCAGAGTGCCTTCCAGCTGTGCTGGTGAGTGCCACTTTTCACAAGGACCTGGTCACAGCCTAGTGCCCTTTTGCTCAGGCTTTTCTTTTCCTGGTTCAGGTCTGAGCCTCAGACCCTGAAGAAGCTGCTACAGATATCTGGAAGGGGTGGGAAATTTCCTACCCCCACAGTCAGGCACCGCTGTGAGGGGTGTCCTCTTTGCACCCTTCCCTCTGCCAGTTCCAGGAATTGACTTGGTCTCTTTTGACTCGTTGCCTGATTTCTTTTTTTTTTTTCTATTTATTTTTAAATTTGTTCTGATTACTTACACATGACAATGGAGTGCTTTTTGACATACTCTATAAAAATGGAGCATAACTTCTCCTTCCTCTGGCTGTACATGGTGTAGAGTCACAGCAGTAGTGTAATCATACACGGATAC